CCCCCCGCCCCCGCCGTCCTCCTCACTAGGCTTGATCACTGGAGGTGTTTGCACTGGGGCAGCTCGGGAAGCACTGACCGACTCCCGTGGTCCCTACTTGCCCTCTTCCAGCAGGGCCTGAGGCCAAAGAGTGGGGCTTGCCCACCCTCATTTGGATGTCAGCCCCTATCCCAGGGGTTTAGACTGTGAATAATCCTTCCACTCTGAAATTTACTCCACATTCACTGAGCCCCATCTGTATATCAGGCTGTGCGCGCAGGGAAGGGGCAGGACACAAAGCTGTAAAGTTGAACAGAACAGTCCTTTCTGCCTTAGAGAAGCAGCTGGATGTGGAAGTGGTGGGGGTGGGGGCAGGGAGCAAATCATACAGGAATACTTAATCCTCCAAGGTGAGAAGAGCTTTTGAAGGGTTGTGAGCTGAAGATTCGGGAGCACAGGGAGGGAAGGACCATCTTTGAATGCCTGATTATTCAGGCAGGGACATTTTGAACTGGGCCTTGAAGGATATATACGAGTTCATCATTTCAGACCTGCTCCTTGCAGATTCAGAGGTCTGTTTGGGGAGTTTGGTGTGGCAGAAACACATCTCTTTTAGGACATCAGCTGGAGGTGGAGGCAAGACCAGGCCAAGCAGGGCGTTGTATGATGCGCTGAGCATCTGGACAGAGGTTCTCAGCAGGGGTGTGATGTGATCAGCTCGTACTTGAGAATGGGGTATGGCTCTGTGGGTTGAAGGGGGACAAGGCTGGTGGGAGACAGGGCCCAGGGCAGGGTAGTTTGTCTGAATTGGTGCAGCGATTGGGGACTGGGGAGGAAGACAGCCTCTTTGGAGTTAGGGACATCATGACTCATTGCTTGGCAGGATAAGGAAAGGAAGAAGGAGTTAAAAAGAGGAAAGTGCAGGTACCAGGAGCAAGGTTAGGACCCAGCAGATGGCCTCTGGTCTCAATTCCCAGTATCAGCCAGCCTTTGGCTTCTTGCTTTCTGAGGGATCCTGTGCTCTGGTTTCCATATTAGTTAATTATTGCTGCATAAAAAAATTACCCTCTAACTTAGCAGTTTAGAAGAAATACAAAATTATTATTCCCTATTGTTTTTGTGGGTCAGGAATTCATGGGTGACTTGGCTCATGGTTCTGGCTCAGGGTCTCTTATGAAGTATAGTCAAGATGTCAGCTGGGGCTGTGGTCATCTGAAGGCCGGATTGGGGCTGAAGGACCCACTTCCAACATGGCTCCCTCACATGCCTGGCAAGTTGGGGCTGGCTGTTAGCAGGAAGCCCCAGCTCTTCACCACATGGCCCTCTCTATAGGGCTGATTGAGTGTCTTCACAACATGGTAACTGGCTTCTCACAGAGCGAATGATCCAAGAGACCAAGGCTGAAGTCACAATATCTTTTATGGCTTAACCTCAGAAGACACACACTGCCATTTCTATAACATCCGATTGATTACATAAATCAGCCCTATTCAGTGTGGGAGGGAACTACAGAAGGACATGAATGCCAGGATGCAAAGAACACTGGCAGCCTTAGACGCTGGCTGCCACAGTTTGCTTTTCTGTAACACATCTGAATGTTTCATTGATCTGGGAGGTGAGAGGCTAGAAGAATGGCATGCCCAAGCTTCAAATTACAGCAAGAGGGGAGGGATGCAAGTTAGAGAGTAGGAAACACTGCCCCATGAGAGAAGAACTGAGAAAGGTGACTAAGAATATAAAGGAGCTTTCCCTGGAGGAGACTCTACAAGACAGCCAGCCCCCTTGGGCTTGGGGACAGGTACTTCCGAAGGTGTAAAAATCCATTCTCAAGGGCTTAGCCATGCCTGTCCTGCTTGTGACCTGGCAGTTATATTCAGTTTGCTGAGCTTTTGTCTTCTGGGCTGGCGGCTGGGGGAGGTCTTTCCTTGCTCCCCACTGTAGAGTTGCCAAGGACAAGCTCCGTGCATTCCAGCATGCAGGGAACACTCATCACGTTGTACTGTGATTGCCCAATGATTTCTCCATCTGCCCTCCATTTGGGGACATTTGCTGAGTGTCTGCCCACTGTGTGACAGGCAGGGCTGCCCTGTATAGTCACGCAGGCCATGCATGGCCAAGGGCACCTGCAGAGAGTGCACTGGAATCAGCCCATGCCTTATTCACCAAGCTGAGCATCCTAGCACCATGCAGGAGCTGCCTGGAGAAAGGGCACCTTCTCACCATTCCCTCGAAGACACTGTGCACTAGTCCAGCTGTGTGTCCATGGGGCTGGTTTTCCCGGAGGGTAGGGCTTTGCTAATTTGCACAAAGATGCTGTATGGCCCCGGGGGCCTGAAACAGACACTGTTCTCGCTGCTGGGGATAGGGTGTGAATGAGACAGGCATGCTCCCTGCCCTCATGAGTCTAGTGTGGGGAGACAGACTGAACATGAGTTAGCAGCAGATTACCCAAGATGACTTCAGACTGGGAACTGTGCTGAGAAGGAAGGAAGCAGGGTGATGAGAAAGAATAATGGGGGACCTACTCTAATTTGGGTGGTCACTGTTGCTTCAGCAGCAAGTGCAAAGGCCCTGAGGTAGGAAGGAGCTTGGCGCATTTTGGGGACTGTTAGAAGTGTGGGGCGTGTTGGAGGAAGATGGAGTCCTGGCCCCCACTGTGCCCCTAGTGTCTAGACTAGAGTTGGAAAGCCCAGAGTCGACACTTAGGGATGCCTTTCTGTTTGAATATGAGATGTTGCAAGTGTTGGGGGTACAGCTCAGGAAAAGACTGAGAGTGGGGTGGGATGATTAATTGGGGGTGCACATAAACTCCAGGGAAGTTCTTCAGTCAGGTCCAACTTTAGCAAACATTTATTAAGCCTCTACTGTGTACCAGGCACTACTCTGTGTGTGTGTGCATGTGCGTGTGTGTATGTGTGTGTGTATGAGAGAGAGAGGTCCTTACCTTGAAGGAGCCCACACAGTAGGAACCAAGGTGGGGAAAGGGTAAGTCCCTTTCTCTGCAGGCAGTGGCCCAGTGAGGCCTCCAAGCTCAGCCCAGGCCTCCTCAGTTCCACATTCATGGCCAGCAAGAAGACATGGGGGTGGGGCTGGGGAGCTGCTGGTCTCAGAGGGGAACATCTTCTGGAAGGGAGGGGTTGCCCCCTAGGATGGTCGGGTCCCTGGGAGGGAGGGAGAAGCAGAAAGGCTAGACAGATGGGTATGACTTGGGTGACTGAGGTGGGTATGTCCTGGTGTAGCCAGGGGTGGAGAAGTCCCTGAGCTGGGCCGGGTGGCTGGTGGGGTCAGGAAAGCCTTGCTCAGCGCTGGCTGAGTCACAGGCCTGAGATGGGGCCAGGACTAGGTTCTGAGAGAATAAGTTCCTATGCTATGGCCAATGGCCAAGGTCACATCCCAGGCTCCAGCCAGTTTGCCTCCCAGCTTCTCCCCAATGCCCACTATCAACCTCTCCTGTCTCAGACAAGCCAGAAGCCTTAGTGTGGCAACCCTGAAGCCTCTGTCAGCCACTCCAGCCTTTAACTTGTGCCTCAGTCTCCCTTTCTGAGTTCTGCTGAGAATCAGGTTGGCTCAAGCTGGAGGGGATAGAGTACCATAGATCCAAGAGAGGGGGGCAGCTGGCTGTGGCCCTGGGCTGTGGCTGCTGAGGACTCGGGGTGAGGCAGCTTCCCTGCCTCCCTCACGGGTTCTCTAAGCAGTGCCCCTAACCCACCTACCTCAGGAGGTCCTGGGCAGCCAACAAGACCCAAGTCAGTGCAGAAACCAGCTCAGGAGACCCCTCACCTCACCAGTGGGACCTACTGGAAGGGGATCAGCAAACGCCTCCCTGAAATCCCAGATCCTTGGGAGTGGGGCAGCAGGGCTGGGGACATTCCAGGCTTTGGGAACCTGATAGGAAATTCGATTCCAGCTTCTGGTAGTGGGAGAGGGGAGCAAGTCCTCTGTGTGTGTGTTTCAACTCATGCACATGAAGTTTGTGTGAGCATCTGTCCACGTGTCTGTGTTCACAAATCTGTGTCAGGCTGGACTCTGAGGGTCTCTCATGCTATTGTGTGTGCTGGTGCCCCGGGATCAGAGGGTCTCCCTGGCGTGAGGATGTGTGTGAGGCTCTGTGTTGTGTGCCTGGCTGTGTGTATGGGTAGGGGGGTGCTGGGGGAGTGTGCGTGTGTGGGTGCAAGTTTGTATGTGAGCCTGCATGCCTCTGGGGGACAGCCAGTGTGATCTTGGTTAGCGGGTGCTGTCTGCCTGCCTGCCTGCCTGCCTGGTGTGTGTGTGTAAGGGGAGAAGGGCCCCCTTATTCCTCGCTAGGGTTGGCAAGGGGCCTGGGTTTGGCCTACCTCTGCCCCTGGCAGGGGTCCAGCGGGGGAGCCGCGCCCCCCCCTTCTCCCACCTTCCCGCACCCAGAGGGGCTCTGGCGTCGGGGGCTCGGCGCCTCCCCGCCCGCGGGGCCTAGGTCCGGGCGTTCCCGGCCTGCGGGCCCGGGGGAGCTGCGGCAGCCGCTCCCCTCCGCCCCCTCCCTCTTTCGGTCCCTCCTTCCCTCCTTCCCTCCCGGGCGCGGATTGCGGGCGGGGGTGGGAGGAGATTTCGGCTGAGTTTCCATTTCATACCTCGCGGCTAAAACTTTCTTTCTGTGTCTCGCCCTCTCGCAGTCTGCAGCTTCTCCTGTCATCGGAAATGCCAGGCCAAGGTAAGGGGCCGAGGGCTGGCGGGCCTCGCAGAGGACTTGGGGACGGGCCTGGCTCGGTGTCCGGGGACTGCAGCAGGGGCCGACGGCGGGGCGGGGGCGGTGCCCGGGTCGTCCCTCCTCCACTCTTTGTTTATGCAAAGCGCCGAGGCCTGGGAGCCGGCCCAGGTCAAGGTGAAGGCGAAGGCCCGGGGCGGGGTGGGGGAGCTGGGGGGATTTGGGCGGGGGACTCGGCGCGCAGTCTGGGCGGCTACTGGAGGTGGCTGGTGGGGACAGGAGCTCTGAGAGAGGGGCTTTTGAAGGTGTTCCCCCTAGTTCTCAAGGGGGAACTGGGGGGGTGGGGGTGCAGGGAGGAAGGGAATGCATTTCAATTACCCCGCAGGCCAGCCTAGAAAAATTGTGTCCCCAGCCACAGGATGGGAGAAGGAGGTAGGTAGGGGAAGTGGGGAATAAGGACAGAGGTCAGGATAGCACTGAGTCTGGAACCCTCTGAGCAATTCTCACACCCCTCTTGGTTGGTCAGGTCCCATTTTGGTCCTCAGTTTCCCCATCAGTATTTCTTGGCTGGTTTTGGTGGGAGAGCGAAACTGAGGCAAGAAGACTGGAGGGATTGCTGGGTCCTGGTTGGCCAGGCTGGCTGGGCCCTGCTGTGTCCACTCAGACCTGGACAGAGTGATGGATCAGCTTCTTGGAGTAATAAGGGGGCGGTTACACCAGGATGGATTATGTGTTTGGGGTAAGGAAATTGTTCCTCAAATGGGCTCGGCTCTGCTGGAGGTGGAAATGCCTAAACATGCTTTACCTTTCCCATGCAGCCAGTGTCTGCACCTTCTTCTGTCCTTGCTTCTACTGTCCCTGTCCTTTCACTCCCTACTTTTGCTGTGCACACTTGACTTTTCAAGCAGGAGCTCAGTGAATGGAAGGAGGAGGGAGGATGCTTCAAAAAGAAGCATTGATGGAGGCATTGAGGCCCCGTATCTGGAACATTTCATGTCCTGTTTCTTATTAGCTGGGCAGCTTTGGGCAAGTCATGTACCTCTCTGAGCCTCTGTTTCATCCTTAAGGATGTAGGAACGAGAAGCCTGCCTCATCAGGTTTTTATGAGGATTACATGAGATAATGTGTGTGAAGCACCCAACACAGTGCCTGACACCCGGGGGATGCTCAAAAACATAGTAATTGATGATTATCAACTGGAAGCTCCGAGGGCCAAGCACTACCTTGGAGAAGGGATGCTCATGGAGCAGGCAGGTCTAGGAGGGAATTCACTTCCTCCTGACAGACCTTGCTTAAGCCACATACACACCTTGTGGGGTGGGGGGGCCTCCCCATCTGTGAACTCCAGGTTGGAGTGCTCACCCAGCAGAGGTACAAAGGGCCGGGCTTGCAGTAGGTGCCTCTGTACAGGGGGTTTCCTGCCTCTTCCATTGTTTTCTGTCTCCTCAGCCTTTTCTTCGAGGGATGAAGAGTGAGTTTCTGTTCCTCCCCCCTCATTCTGTACATCTGGAGCCGAGTTTTTCCACCCTTAACCCCAGAACCTTCCAGTTTTCTTGCTCCTCAGTCTACCCCTTCCTACCTCCCCTCCTGAACTTGTTTCTCTTAATAACAATGAACTTTGTATAGTGCTATAGGCCTTAGAAGGCATTTCACATGCATTATCAGACTTTATTCTTTTAATTTTATTAGCGCATAAAACATAGGCCGAAAGATCATGCTGTTTTACAGATGAAGAAACTGAGGCACTAAAATGTTGAGTGACTTCCTAGGGTCTCACTGTTTAGTTCTCACCCACTCTGTCCCTGGGCCTTTGTGCTTCCTTCCCACGGCTGCTAGCTGCCTGCTGGCAGGTGTCTCTTGACCCTTACCTGCCCTTCTTCCTTTGCTCCCCATTTCTTAGCAGCAGTGGGATATGTTTAGAGAAGATAAGGGGGTGAATTTACTGGCAGTGAATGGTCTGAGTAGGGGGAATGGGTAGCTCAGATAGGCCCAGACAGGTATGATAGAAGATGGCCCCTTGTTTTGCAGCAACCTTGTGCACGGAGACAGAGGGATGCTGAAGATGACTTTCGGGGGGGCATAGCCTGCCTGGTGATTCTCACATATTCTGGAGGCTCAGAATGCACCAGACTGCAGCAATCCTGCTCTGCCCAGACAAGGAGGCCAACCAACAGGGGAGAGGGTGGACTGGCAGGGCAGTGGCCACAGACAGATGGGGCTTTTCATAGGATTTTCCTCTATAGGAAATGGGACCCACTGGTGCTATGTGCTCCACCCAGCTCGCAAGTCTCTCCCCTGAAACCACAGGTCTTACTACGGCCCTGCTTTTTCCTCCTGCAGCAGGAGCCCCAGAGCACAGAACAGAGCTCTACACTGTGGATTTTTATAACCAGATCAACTTGGAGGTCATTTCATCCATCCCCTTCTAGGCAGGATTTATTAAACAAGTGTTTGTTGAGCTCTTTCCATGTGCTGGACATTGTTCTGAGTGAGCAGGACAGACAAGGCCTTGGCCTCATGGGACTTAGATTCTAATAGGGGAGACAGGCACTAAATGGGCAAGCAAGTTATGAAGGACAGGAACCAGAGCAGTGGGTTAGAGGGCGATTAGGCTAGGGTGGCCCAGGAAAACTTCCTGGAGGAAGTGTCGTGTGAGCTGGGACCCAAATGATGTCGTCTGGTGGTGGGAGGGATGGAAAGAGCAAGTGCAAAGCCCTGAGGTGAGACGAGCTTGTCATGCGTGAAAGAAGGCTGTGCGGTTGGAGAGTGGTGAGCGCTGGGGATGTGCTCTGATTTCCACTTTGTCAAGGCCACTCTGGCTCTGACCAGGCACAAGGGTAGGAGCAAGGACATGGGATAAGAGGCTGCTGGTGTTGCCCATGAGAGAGGCTGTGGCCTAGTCCATGGCACTCGCAGGGAAGGCAGTGAGAAGGGGCCGTGGCCGGGATGCATTCTGAGGTGGAGCCCAGAGCCCTGCTGGTGGATGTGTGAGAGAGAATGGACTCGAGGATGACTCCCAGGTTTTTGGCCAGAGTAACTGGGTGCACGTGGTTTCATTTACTGAGATAGATGAAGTGTGTGAGAAATTTCTAGGAAAGAAGGCTGCAGGATTTCTGTTTGCCTGGTCTCTTTTTTCAGTTACTCTCGCACACATTGGGGATTTCTTGCTAATGATTTTCTCTAATTCAGCCAATTCTGGCCACCCCTCTAGTAAGTGGCTGGTTCTTAATGCCTTAACATGCCACCTTCCAGAACGTTCCTGCAGTCTGAAGCCGTGGCTCTGACAGGGGTATACATAGTAATACAATGTAACAAATTATCCCCCCAATTTAGTAGCTTAAAACAGCAACAAACATTTATTATCTTATAATAATAAATGTTTCTGTGGGTCAGGACTCTGGGAGTAGCTTAGCTGGCTGGTTCTTGTAGTTGGCCAGGGGTCTTATGGGGTTGCAATCAAGATGTCAGCTGCAGTCTTCTGAAGACCTGACTGGGGCTGGAGGAACCTCTTCGAGGTGGTTCTTTCATGTGGCTGGCAAGTTGGGGCTGGCTGTTAGTAGGAGGTATTAGTTTCCTGCCCCATCACCTCTCCGTAGGGCTGCTTGAGTGTCTTCAAAATATGGTGGCTGGTTTCCTTAGAGTGAGTGATTCAGGAGAATCACCGTGTCTTTTATATCCTCACTGGGAAGATACACACTGTTATTTCCACAACATGTTATTGGTTACATAGGTCAGCCCTATTCATTGTGGGAGGAGCTTGCGTAAGGGCATGAATACCTGGAAGCAAGAATCAATGGGGCCCATCTTGGAGGTAGACTACCACAGATGCTCAGAGAGAGGGCTGTGCTGACCTGGCTCCTGGGAAGTCGTGGGAATGGTGGAAAGGGCAGAGATATAGGAATCAGGCATACATGGGTTTGAACTCTATCCCTGTTGCCTTCAGCAATGTGAGCTGAATTGTAAAGGATTAAATGCACATTGGCATATAGTAGACACCTTTCTCCTTTCTTGGAATGATAGGAGAAGACTGGAAAGGAGTCCAGATATTCTGTACCCAGCTCTTTGCCACTTGGACCTGCTTGAGGGCAAATGCTCATGCTGGTAGAGGAGGGGCTTTGGTGCCTGGCTCATGGTGGATGTTACAGACATGTTGATTGTGCAAAGGAAGGTTGAGAGATATGTTGCACCCCCAGCTTCTAGAATACTCCCTGGCCCATAGAAGGGGTGCCAATAAAGGAAAAAGTGTAATAAAGAATGTTGAGAAACAAATAGTTTCAGACAAAGGGAGAAGCTGAGGGGGTGGATGAAAGCAGGAAAGCAGTAACAGCAAAACCACTTTTTAATTCCCTTTCAGAAAGCCGTCCTCCCTTCTGACAGAGTACACGCCCAATAATAATTCTGATCATTTACATTTTTCTAATTGGGGTATAATTCATGTGCTGTCAAGTACACAGAACTCAAATGTACAGCTTGATAAATTTATACATACGTATATATGAGCCAGATCTAGAATAAGATGTATATCTAGATCTATATCAAGATCTAGAACATTCCCAGCACCTCAGAAGCAGCCCTTATGCTCCCCTCCAAGTCAATATCCTCCAAAGGTAATTGTTATTCTTACTTGTATCATCAGAGATTAGTTTTGCCTGTTCTTGAACTTCATATAAATTGAATCATACTGTGTGTTTGCTTTTGCGTCTGGCTTATTTCACTCAACATTATGTCTGCAGGCTCATCTGTGTTCTTGCGGGTTGCAGTGGAGCATTCTTTTTTATTGCTATGTTGTATTCCATTATGTGACTAACCACAATTTATTTATCCATGCCACTGTTGATTGTCATGTGGATTCTTTCTGGTTTGGGGCTGTTATGAGCAGACCTGCTGTGAACGTTTATTTACCTGTGTCTACAGAACTTTGCAAGACACAAAACATTGCCCCACATCTTCGCAGTTCTGTGAGGTGGGTGGGCTCCTGGTAGCCCCATTTTACAGATCCAGCATTG